CTCTCTCTCTCTCTCTCACACACACACACACACTCTCTCTCTCTCTCTCTCTATCACACACACACACTCGCTCAGGAGAAAGAGGAGCAGCTCCTAAAGGTCTCTGGCACTCGGAGGGCCTTAAGAGAGACTGGCTTATTTTTAACCGTGTAAAGTGCAAATAAAGTTACGGATCGCGGGTCTGGCGGCTCCTCGGTGATATTTCAGTTCTCCTAACTAGGCCATTGAAAGTAGGATATTGCTGTCCTACAAACCACCCCACATCCCTCTCTCTCTCTCTCCCTCTCTCTCTCTCTCTTCTCCAGTCCCGTGAGACATGAACCATTTTCCACCACCTGGTCGCCTATTCTGTGCTCAGAGACGCAGCGAGATCCAGGGCCACCTCGCGCAAACGCCGGCGATCAGAGATAACAGAGCAAACCACAAAATGATGACAATCGGTTCAGATCGATGGACAGTCCTATCATTTCTGCCTGTTTTTTGCTTTTGATTCTCACTTGGACTTGAACCCTGTTTTCCTTCTTAAATCTTAAAATATATATATATATATATATATAAATATTCAATAATTCAATATTATTAGTAAAATAACATGTAATTCAATTAAGAAAATAAAGTAACCATAAAAAGTTTCATTAGTAATAAATGTAAAAAAACAATAAAAGAAGTGAAAATTGATGAAAATTAGATTTCAATGTTTTTTGTAATGAATTTTGAGTAAATAATGTGAAATAAGCATAATTTAAATTTAGCATTTTTGTGAACGTCTCATTTGCCATTATTAAATTATATTTAGTCTATCAGAATCCGTGTATCATTCGATCATTCTGACAGAGTATTAAGTTATTTCCCCTCGATGGGGAAAAAATCCAAGTGAACATCAATCAGTACTCAATATTAATTTAAACTGCTTTAAATATGACTGCTGCTTATTTCCCGTGCACTTCAATACTGGTCTGCGCTTGATTGTAGTCTGTCTGATTATTGAGTTTATTTAACCCATCGCAATTTATTGGAACTGTTTGAACTAGAGTGACTACTCGCCTTAATGTTGTTCTAAAGGCTTATTACTTAACACAAAAATGTCCTGCTCGCACTTGCCAATTTAATGGCAGAGAATGGTGACTTTA